TCGCCTGGCATGCGTGCGGCCCAGGTTCGATCCTCAGCACCACATACAAACAAAGATGTCGTGTCCGCCGATAACTAAAAAATAAATATTAAAAAAATTCTCTTTCTCTCTCAAAAAAAAAAGAATGAATACACATTGTATGTATACATACACATACCTCATTAGGTTAACATTATATATTAACATGTGTCCTAGCATTGACTTTCCAGGTATTTTTTTTGCTTCATTTAAAAATAATCTTTATTTTAAAATCAGTTTCTTTTATAATATGTGATATTGAAACTAATATCAGTTTGATCAGCAAACTCACTTATTCACAAAATATATTTTAATCTTTATATTCACAAGAGAAAAACTACTAGAATACAAGCAGAATATAGAAGAATATAGAAGAATATAGAAGGTGAAACTACATCATTCTATAAATGAGAAAATATAACTTTCAGTTATTTGACTTACTACAGTTTTATATATAAGTTCAGTGAATTTGCATATTTTAATAATAATCAGGTTGAGGCAGCAGTATGGTAAAGTGTTTAAAAGTATGAGCTCTAGAGCCATATTGCTTAGTTTTAATTCTTAGCTCTCTCCCACTCTCTATGGCTGTAACTTTGGTAGTACTGATCTCTTTTATGAAACTGGAATAGTAATAGGGGGTTATTTCTATAGGGGGTTATAATTTGTATACAAATTAATACATATAAAGTTCTTGGAACAGTGTCTTCACATAGCACTCAGTAAATACTTGCCATTATGATCATATGTCTCTATGAAAATCCATTGTAGAGTCTATCCTAACAATGAAAAATAAATGTTGCATAATATGGAATATTATCATTTATCTTATTTTAAATGTTTAATATAGCTCTATAATCATAGACACTTTTATTGACTATAAAACATCACTATTCCAACCTCTTGAAAGCTGGGAATTCAGGTATGGTAGATATGATTATGTAACTCCTTCAGTTTAAACTCTTCAATGGCACTCCACCAATATGGTCCAGGCTTTTTAACATAATCATATGGCACTTTCTGATTGTGCCCTTGATTGCCCAGCTAGTTTCATCTCTCACTTTTGTTGTCCAACTTTTAGCACCTTCCCATCTCAACTACAATTGCACACACACACACAATATTTTCACAAAAACGTCAAATTCCCCAGAAAAGTCATTTCTCTCTCATGCTTCCAGATATTATATATGCAGTTCACATCACCTAAAACACTTTTCCATCCTTCTTTTCTACTGCAGTGTTACATCAAAAGCAAAATCTAGGAACAAAACAAATATTTATCCAAAGAGGAAGATATAAAAGTTGTTGATAGCTAGGAATAATATGTAGACAGCACTTAAGATAGTAAAAAGAATTAATTTATTCATTTAAAAATATGTACTGTTATTTCTATGTACTGTTCTAGATTCTGAAGGTTAATGAAAAAAATTTTGTCCCCAAGAATAACATAAATATAGTCTAAATTAATCTTTTTTATAAAAGGACTTTATGTATTTTTATTTTTTAAAAATCCAATTTTTACAAAATGGAATATGGGTAGAAATGTATTTCATACATATTTGCATACCAACGGTGGTTGTCTATGGCATATGCAATGAAGCTAGCACATGCAGAGTAAGGAGATAATTTTATGTTATTTTTACATGCTTTTATGGTGATATCGTATAAGAATTAACATTGATAAATTATATTGTACAATTCTTGAAGTTATTAAGAATAACATGTCTCTTGCTCAAGGTTAACTCATTATTAATGAGTTTCTTCTTCCTAACATAAAAATATTACTTCTACTAAAGGTCACTTAGACACAGTTAAGAGAATAGAACTTGAAATTAGAACATTTTTAAATAAATTAATTTCCTTCTATTTAATATTTTAAGTAATCATATAGACATTAGTCAATGAAACTTCAAAAATAAACATTTAATTTTCTTAGAATTCCTGTCATTCACAGGCATTACAGATGCAGCTATCAATTGACTCCCATACATTTAACTTTTATATGTTCCAGAAAGCATTTTGGGCACGAGCAGGGTACAGACACACACATAAATTATATTATAACTATTTTTATAATATTACCTGGATTTTTTTTGTCTTTTTCACTCTATTGGCATTTGTCCTATGGTGCAAAGGCAATGGTGGGTGAAACTGCTGGTGCTGTAGCACAAACTAAGGCAATGACACTGAATTGTACTGGTGACCAGTGAAGCCTTTTGTGACCATGCACTTGCATTTTTTAAAATGTCAGTTTCACTTAAAAATACTTGATGAAGTGGTAAGAAAAATATTAACTTTCTTATATCTCAACTTGGATTAAACTTTATAAAATAATATGCATACCTTAATGAGAAACACAAATAAAATATTCCTGCCGCAAACCAAAATACAGTGGCTGTCTTTAGGAAAAGCACTTCTGTGATTCTTTGAGATATGAATTGAAAGCTTTTTTCATAAAACCATTTATACTTGACAGAACTACTGACAGACTAAGAATGGTTTTTCAGACTTGGATCTTTAAAAGATATTTTCCAAAAACATGACATGAAGCAAGCTTTTTAATTCAATAAAAACAATTAATAGTATGTATTGTCGATAACAAAATCTGAAATTTCAAATTAACAAATGATATTAATAGATGTGATTCTTAAAGGGACCAAAAAAGGGAGGGAGGACAGGAAGGAAAGGGGAAGTACTTTGAAAAATGATATTGGCCAAAATATATTGTTTATTGTGTGCATGTATGAATATGTAACCACAAATCTCACCATTATGTATCATTATGTAATTATGTGCATTATACAATTATAATGCACCAATAAAATATGAAAAAAATAAAAATAAAATTATTATATCATGAAATATAACAGCATTTAGAAACTCAGAAATCCAACATTTTCCAAATGATCACAGGAAATGTTACAAAATCATGCACTGGTAAAAGAAACATTCAAAGTATAAGTTAGACCAATGGACTTCATGTAATGTAATAAAGTATGAAGAAGCCATTATGTTTCAGATTACAATTACAATTAACCTTTATATTACTTTTAAATTTTGATATAATAAAAAAAGAAAAACACCACAATTATCTGAAAAAATGCCATTGAAATACTTCATACATGTATGGTGCATGTATGGTGCTTCACATACTTCAAATTAATATAACATTACAACAGATTGAATGCAGAAGCATACATGAGAATTCAATCTTCTATTGAGCTTGACTTTAAAGAAATTTGAAAAATGTAAATCAGTGCCACTCTTTCAAGTTATTTTTGTAAACGTCATGTTGTTTAATAAATAATAGTTTTGTTATTTTTAATGAATTAATAAATGCTTTAATTTTTTCCTTTTTAATTTCTAATACTATACACATCAATAGATATAGCCACAAAATAAAAATTTTTTGAGGTCCTCATTAATTTTTATTATTATTAAAAAAGATTCAAATGTTTGCAAATTGCTGTCCTATATGTAAGTGATTCTGAGCCACTAGTCTCAGTAGTCTGTGAGCAAACTGAGTTAACTGTTTCTCCAATTACCAAGTCATGATAGACACTCAAATATGTGCTGAATGTAAATGATCCTCAAAAATATTTCTGGAAAAACTAACTACAATTTTAGAATGAATGAAAAGAGTTGGTTTAAATTAGAATCAAGTTTGAAAACTAGCTCTAACATTTACTAGGCTTTGAGGTTTTAGACAAATTATTTATACTTTTTCTGAACCTTAGTTTTTCCACATAAAAATAAGATTTATATCTTTGTAGAGGAATTATTGTTAAATATTTGAAATATACTTTTTCAATGTTCTTAAATAAAAGAGTATATGAAGGAATGTAACACACATACACTGTTGGTAGGAATGCAAAATGATATACCTGCTTTGGAAAACAATTATCAGTTCCTCAAAAGGCCAAACACAGTTACTATATGACCCAGTATTTTTTTCCCTAGGTATTTATACCCAAGAGAAATGGAAATATATATCCACAAACAAAAACTTGTACAAAAATGTTCCATAATAGTAAAAAAAAATGAAACAACCTATATCCATCAACTGATGAATTGACAAAATGTGATATATATCCACATAGTAGAATATTATTTGACAATAAAAGTGAATGAAGTACAGATTCAACATTTCTACTCTAAAAATATGTAATCTGAAATGCTTCAAAATCTGGGAATTTTGAGCACCAATGTCCTCATAAATGGAAAATTCCACACTTGACCTCATATGATGCATCCTAGTCAAAACACAGGCACACACAAAAAATACTGTATAAAACTACCTGCAGGCATTGTGTATAAGGTATGTATGAAACATAAATAATTTTTTTTTGTTTAGAGTTGGCTCCTATTCCCAAGGTCTCTCATTTTGTATAAGAAATATTCCAAAATCCCCCAAAAATCCAAAATCTGAAACACTTATGTTCCAAGCATTTTTGATAAGGGATACTCAACCTGTATTCATACAAGCTAAAACATAAATGAGCCTTGACAACATTGTGGAAGAAGTCAGTCACAAAAGTCCACATATTATATAATTCCATTTTCAAGAAATTTCCAGAATTAGGCAAATCTATAGAGATAGAAAGTTGATTAGTGGTTGTTTAGGGGTTGGGATAAAATGGAGGTGGCTACTAAAGAGTAGGAAGGGTAGCAGAATAAAATAGACATTATTATTGCTGTATGTATATAGGTGACTGTATGACCAATGTGATTCTGCAAACTGTACAATCAGAAAAATGAGAAATTATACCCCATTTGATTCAAATGTATGAATTGTCAAGATCATTGTACTGTCATGGGAGGCTAATTAAAAAAAAAAGAGTAGCCTTTGAGCATTATATTCTAAAATTGATTGTGGTTCTGGCTGCCTAACTAATATACTAAAAATAAAAGGATGAACTATATTGTTTGTGAATTATATCACAATAAAGTTGTTTCAAAGAATTTAAGAACATAGGTAAAAATACCTGGCAAAATGCTTGACACATACTGGAAGTTCAACAAATACTTTCTTTGTCTTAAAAATAACTGTTTTTCCAAATCCAATGACAAACCTAAGGAAATCACAAGAGTTTGAGCAGATTAGTTTAGACTATATAACTTTCACATTATGTCAACAAAGTAAAACATATTCACAAAAGAAGTCTATCTTCTTGTCTAGCTATTCTCTTGATACAGAACTCTTTTTAAAATATTCTATGAAATCCAAATTTTGAAAAACAATCCAGGATAAACCTTCTGAAAGTCATCATAGTTATTAATATTAGCTGAAATTTCAAATCTGATTTAATTTTTTATTTTTAAATGAGACTTCCTGATGTGAAACATGTTTGAGAAAAAAGCAGAAAAATCATATAAGGTATGATAAAACTGCTTTGCACCTGATTTACTGACAACTTCCTTCAGAGTTAAACTGCTATTTATGAACAGAAATTTTAGTAATCTCTAGCTTATGTAATATAATATTTCAAGAATGATCATATGAAGAAGCAAACACATTCTAAAACTATTGTCCTTTTAAATCAAAAAAGAAACTGGCTATCTATGTTCTTGCCTTCATGAGTCCTACATCTGTGACTTTAGTTAAAAGAGGAACTTCCAAAATTTAGATCTATTGTCATAAGGAGGCAAATTTATCTGTGGTCTTGCAATATAAATTAATTAAAAACTCCCCTTTGGGAGCCATTGCATATTGGTAGATTGAAAAGAGACAGAATAAAAGAAACTGCTCCAAATAGCCACCTTCCACATTCACGGGCTTCCTATATATCTCTCTAACTCACTATAGACACTCAACTTTTAAAAAAAAATTTGGTACTGGGGATTGAATCTAGACTCACTTTAATCATTTCATCACCGAGCTACAAATCCTCAGCCCTTTTGATTATGATTCTTTTTTATTTTGACACAGGGTCTCACTGAATTGCTTAGAGCCTCACTAAGTTGCTGAAACTGGCTCCAAATCTGTAATTCTTCTGCTTCAGTCTCCAGAGTCACTGGTATTACAGGTACACGCCATTGTGCCAGGCTTCAATACAGTCATTCAAACAATCAGTCAATCAACAGTTGTTTATCATCTTGGGTCAACCAGTGGACCTACATACAACTCATTTTCACATAAGTCACTTTCTAGTGGGGGAACTCAGACAATAAATGAAAGAAATGGCCAATTAAGGAAATATTAAGAGGAAATAAACGATATAAGAAACTTAAAGCTGAGTAGATGGGAAAAGTTCCCAATTTTAAACAAGATGGTCAAAATAGGTCTCCCTAAGAAAATGACATTTGAGCAAGAACTTGAAGGAGCTAAAAGTCTTCCATGAATATTTAAGAGCCAAGCATCATAAGAAGAATAAACAACGAATGCAAATGTCCTACAGTGGTGCCTCTTTGAGGAATTAGTAGATAAACATATTAAAAACAAAAAAAGCAAAGGTGAGAACAATAGAAGATGAAGTCAAAGAGGTATAAAGGAACCCTATATATATTCATAGGGCCTTTAGGGTCATCACAGGGATTTTGGCCTTTACTCAGATTAATATGGGGATCCTGTTGGGTGTGGTGGTACAGGACTGTAACCCCAGGAGCTCAGGAGGCTAAGGCAGAAGGACTACAAATTCAAAAGCCAGCTTAGGGCCAGCAATTGAGCAAGGCCCTAAGCAACTTAGTGAGACCTTGTCTCAAAGTAAAAATATAAAAAGGGTTGGGGATGTGGCTCAATTATTAAGCACCTCTGGGTTCAATACCCAGTACTATATATATAAAATATATATGATATAATATATATATAAATATATTATATATTATACATACACTATACAATATATATATTTAAAGATATATATTAAAACAAATATACATGTATATATGTGTGTATATACATATATATATATGTGTGTATATATATATATATATATATATATATATATATATATGAAATATGTACATGGATCCTTAGAGGGTTTTTCAGCAAAGGAGTGATGTGATTTAACTTCAGTTGTATAGGATAGGTAGAGTCTGATTTGTGTGTGGAAAATACACTGCAGAGAACAGCATGGATGCTGTTACTATAATAATTCAGGCAAGAGAGATCAGTGGCTTGATCAAGGTGGTGGGACATTCAAATTGGATACTTTTAAGGATAGTTAAAGAAAAAAATATTTATGAAGAATATTGGGCATAATTTAAGGAAAATAACAAGGGGTACTGATGTATCCAGAAGCTAGTTATAGGATGAAGCTCTTACTATACTTAAGCCTGAAGGATAAGTAGAAAGAATGGTGGTTCCTGGAACCTAGATAATGTAGCTGTAGGGAAAGGGTCAAGAAGAGCTCACAACCAAGCCACATCAATCTGGAAATGAAAGAACAGAGGGGAGGGAGAAGACACCTACCTCACTGTCCTCCCACACTCCTCATTGTCTCCCATAAATTCAATCCAAATGGAAGCCTATCACTGATGGAGCCCATAATTATAATTGAACACCCAGAGAACAGAGCAAGTTTAGGTGGATTAGGGAGGAACAAAAGGATGAAATACACCATCATAATGAGGAATCATGATTGATTCCAAGTTTGACTTGAGCACCTTGGACAGACTTGGCATTTACTGAGATGGGAAAAAAAAATTAAGTGTGGTAATCTGGGAAAGAAAAATCAGGAGTTCCTTTTTAGACATGTTCAATTTAAAAATTTTAATAGAAATATTCTGCAGAAAACTGGGCATATAAATTTGAAGCTCAAGAAAGAACTCTGGGTTAGAAATATAAATATTAATCCTAGTTGTCAGGCATTTAAGTTACTGGAGAAAATGTGACAATGATCTATACATGCAACTCATTCTTGTTCTTTGAGAGACAATCCTTTTATTTACATTGAAGGGAAAAATAAATAATGTTTTACTCGATTCCTTTTAAGTATCTTTCAAAGCATGAACTAAATACAATTGTTACTATTGTCTGTGTATGCTATTGGACACTGTGGGCTCCCAATAGGCCCATTTCTTAGTCATCTCTTATCCCTAATACCTAGATATAAAATCATCACTTACAAATTTTTCCAGGTAGGTTAATGAAAATATAAATTTAAAAAATGGTTGGGATTTGTAGGTACACCTTAAAATGCCACATTGATAAGAGAATGAATTTTTGTTTTTGTGGCCAGAACCTCCTCCAATTGACCGAAGACTCAGATATCCTCACTCATCCTGTGACAGGAAGTCAGGGAGAGGCCAACAGTCACACTTTAAACAGACACTTTGAGGAAGCTAAAACAACTTTGAAAGCTTCTGCTGGTGAAGCAAAGAGCACCATGGATATTTGAAAAAAGGTGGTGGCTCTAATACCAGATGATAACATTTATCTGGCTGTTTCCTATGTTCCAGAGGCAGAACCTGCCTTTGTTTTTATTTGTTGTTGTTGTTGTTGTTGAATATTTAATATACTAAATTTAGTATTTATCAATTCAATACATGTTTTATACTATTACTATATATTAGTTTATAAACAAATATCTCTAGTATTATTTTATTTTTTCAATTTATATAAATTATATACTATACATGTGATTTTATATCTTTCATTTTAGAATATGTTTTTAAATTCATACATGTTGATATGAATAGCTCTTGTTTATTTGACTGCTTTTTTCCATATTATGACTGCGTCTATATTTTGACAGCCATTAAAAATAATGCTATATGGGACTGGGTTTGTGGCTCAGTGGTACAGCACTTGCCTCACATATGTGGGTGCTGAGTTTGATCCTAAGTATCACATAAATAAATAAAATAAAGATTTTTTTTTAAAAAAAACAATGCTACAGTAACATTCCTATATATGTATAAGAGTTCCTTTAGGATATAAATATGTAAACATAAAATTTGGGTTGCTAATTTATAGTACATGCATCTTCATCTTTGATAAATACAGCTAAACTGTTTTCAGAGTAGCTGAATAAAATCGTAATCCTACCATAGTTTATGAGAATTGCAGCTTCTCACGCTTAATTTTTTGCTTGCCTGAATGATATCTTATTGTTCCTTTCTAATTTGCATTTTCCTGTCAGAAATTTGGAGCCAGTTTGGATCTATCAAGCTATGTCTTGATAGACATTTATTTTGGTTTCATGGCATCAGTGACCAGGAATGTTCAAGAACCGTTGATGCCAAAGTCAAAAAAGCAAATACTCTAAACAAAGAAATTTGGGGAGTTTTCTTCTAAAAGTTACAAAGCACCTCAAGAGATCTTGAAATCCCCTTTGTTAAATCTCACATTAGACCTGTATACTTTTGTAACTTTGATTAGTTTCATTTCTGAACCTTGAATCTAAGATAATTGACTCTAAGATACTACCTGGACATTGGATGCTAGGATAGTATCAGAGTGCTATAAAGAGTCTCATTTTATGCCCAGGAATCCTAGCTGGCATATCAAAGAAAATGTTAGATACCTGCTCATAAATGCAGACCGGTGGTTCAATCTCTTTCTCTGAGTTCTATTTACTTTGAAGGAAAAGCATAGAATTTTACTTACTTCCTCTTTAGTATTTTTCTTAACATGTCCAATCTCTCAGAGTCTCTCTGTCTTTACTGTGTACATGTTTGCCTCTCTTTGACACATAAATACACAAAAATCTATATTAAACACAATGAAAAATGCACACATAAAACGTGTATTAAATACAATGAAAAATAGCATTCAAAACAAGAGGCTGCCTTGCTGACAGTTAGATGAAGGAAAGATAGAAATATCAACTTTCTCATCGGTCATCAGTGGAGATGAGAAAAATTTCAAATAACTCACAAAAGCTGATATGCTTCACCAAGCACACAGTGTACATGTAAGAAAAATAGATTTTAATATAATTTCAATAGCTTTGTATATAAGTTATGATCCATTCCAACAAGATTTTAATAATCTTCTTCAGGAGAAAAAAGTCTATATTTATTGCAACAATATGCAAATCAGTAAAAATTATGAAGACCAATTTCAAAACAAACAATATAATAGACTTCTTCCATTAAAATCCTATTTTCAGAAGCCTCACTAAATTTG